TATAGGCGTATCAGATGGATCTTGGCTGAAAGCAGAGAATACAAGAAGGCTGTTTACCTGTGTTTTATTGACTTTGAAAATGCATTTGACTATGAGGATCACACCAAATTATATATAACTTTGCAAAGAATGGAGATTTCAGAACACTTACTTGTCTCATGCAGAAACTGTGCTTAGAAAAAGAGGCAGTTGTTGAACAGAACAAGGGTCGTATATGGTTTAGTCAAGAAAGATGTGCATCAGAATTGCATCCTTTCACCATACGTATTTAATCTATATGCTGAGCAAATAACCAAAGAAGCTGGATTATTTGAAGGAAAAAAAAAAAAAAAGCAACAAGATTGGAAAGACTCATTAACAACCTGATATGAAGATGACATACACCTTGTTTGCTGGAAGTGCAGAGGACTTGAGGCACTTACTGATGAAGATCAGATAATGCAGACTTTAACATGGATTACACCTCAACATAAGGAAAATAAAAATCCTCAATTTAACCAATGAGCAACATCACATACAATGGAGTAAAGATTATTAAGGATTTATTTTACTTGGACATATTGCATTGGACAAATCTGTTAAAAAAGATCTCTTTAAAGTGTGAAAAAAAGCGAAGATGGCACTTTGAGGATTAAGGTGTGCCTGACAAAGTCATGGTATTTTTAATCATCTCATATGCATATAAAAGTTAGACAATTAATAAGGAAGACCTGAGAAGAATCGACGCATTTGAATTATGGTGTTGATGAAGAATATTGAAATTACTATGGAGTGCTAGAAAAACAAACAAATCTGTCTTGGAAGAAATGCAGCCAGAATGGTTCTTAGAAGTGAGGACTACTTACCTCAGTTCCTATTAGCCAATATTTGGACATGTGTCTGGAGAAGAACATCATGGTTGAATAAGTAGAGGGGCAAAGGAAAAGAGAAAGATTCTCAATGAGATGAATTGACAGTGATCACAACAATGGGCTGCCACATAGTAATTGTGAGGACGACACAGGACTGGGCAGTGTCTAGTTCTGTTGTATACAGGGTTGCTATGAGTCCGAACCGACTTGATGGCATGATGTAGGATAAACACTGGACTGCCAACTGCAAGGTTGGCAGTTTAAACCCACCAGCTGCTCTTCAGAAACCCTATACAGAATCAAAGAACTGACTTGATGGCACTTAACTATCCAGCTTTCAAGAACAAAAAATTAGAAGACATAACAAAAAGAAGTTTGATGAGACAAAGCTAACCAGACACACACGGCAGAGATTTTGGAATCATCAGACAATCTAAAGTAACTATTACCAGAGAATTTAAAATAACTATGAAAGATGAGGCTTTCTACTCCCGTAAAGATTTACACCCTCGGAAACCCTGTACAGGGTCGCTATGGGTTGAAACCGACTCGACGGCACTTAACAACAACAACAATGATTACTATACTAAGGACTCTAATGGAAAAAGTAGACAACATGCCAGAGCAGATGGGAAATTAAGTAGAGAAAAGAAAATCCTAAGAATCAAAGGAAATGTTAGTAATAAAAACACTAACAGAAATGAAATGAGGAGTTCCTTTGATGGGCATGAAATCCCATCAGACAGATGGAATCAGACAGAATATCAGCTTATGATATAGTAGCTTGTCGGTCATTATCTTCATCAAGCACAACTTTTGGAACTTTAAAAAAAATACCCCTTGTCTCAATTAAAAATATCTCAAAAAGTTTTGTTTGAAGTTTTTGAAATAAAGTTAAATTCTAAACATAAAAAAAATAAAAGATATATCATAGATGCTGTTAGCTACACAGCAAGGAAGAAGTGATGGGGATGTAGAGGACAACCTGAGAGCTAATTGAGGTCAAAATCAAATGTATTCATAGGATGAAAACTCTTTTATATGTAGCTTATATAAAAGTTTTCTTCTTATGGAAGCTTTGAATTAAATAAATCATCAGCTTTATCTTGTTCTCTTCCTTTTTCCTACAATAGGAAAGCCCAGGGCCAAATATGTTGTCCACATGTTGTAACTATTTGGATATTAATTGTATATGTGTGTAGCCTCATTCCTTGTTTCATTGATGTCCATTGTATGTATCTTTGTAAGCCACAATATTGGTGTGTATGTACATGCATTGTTGTTTTGTGCCACCTAGTCAATTTTGACCCACAGCAACCCAATAGGGACCCCTTAGGATTAAAGAAATTGTCCTGTAAACTTTCCTAAATTGTGATCTTTATGAAAGCAGAATGCCTTGGTGGGTTTGAACAGCCTACTGTTTGGTTAACTATCAAGGTCCTAACCACTGATGCACCAGGACTTTATATTACGTACATACATACATACAACTGATGTAGTAGGCAGTATTCTAAAATAACTCCCAAGATCTCCACCCCTTGGTGTACACTATACTATTCTCCTAGGTATGCAGTCAAACATCCTACGTGCTACTTTGAAGGGATTTTCCAGATGTAATTAGAGTCCCAAACTGGTGCTTCTAAGAAAAGGAGATTATCCTGAGTGGACCTAACCTAGTCAGGTGAGCTCTTAAAAGGGATTGAAACCTTGATGAAAGATTTAGAAATGAAAGGGATTTGACACAAGGGAAATTCACCATTTCCGGCTTTGAAACTGGAAGGGGCCACATGCCAAGGAATGCAAGTGGCCTGGCCTCTGGGGGCTGAAAATAGCCTCTGGCTGATAGACTAAAGGAGACTCCAGTCCTACAACTGTAGGAACTGAATTCTGTCACCACTTGAGCATGGAAGAGCATCCAGATGAGAACACAGTTTAGCTCATGCCTTAATTTTGGCCATTGTAACACCCTGCGTGAAGAAACCAGCTGCATCATCTCCGAACTTCTGACCTTGAGAACTCTGAGCTAATAAAGGGGCATTGTTTCAAGCCTCTAAATTTGTGCTAATTTGTAATGGCATTAGAAAGCTAAAACAATGGAATACTTTATTTCAGAAAATTGCAATTATTATTTGTTAAATATTTATTGATGTTAAATCCACATTACACCAGCACAACAATCCAAAGAAGTATGACAGTACTTTTTTTTTTTTTTTATATAAATACAACATAAAAGGTGGCAAAGTAACACTAGTTAATCCCCAACCCAGCAAATTAGCAAATCACATACAGAAAAATTTGGCAAGTAAGTTATGACATAAGTCATAATTCTACAAAATAGGTCCAAGAGAGACTGTATGGTATCTTAAATTCCATATTAACATTGCATTTAACTGTGGTCAAAGAAACTTGTACCACGTTGCATGAAACATCTGCCACCCAGTGCTCAAGCCCATTAATCATTTAGAACTTGGTTGGTTGGTGTTCTTACAAAGAAGTCAAAAGCTGTACACGTGAAGCAGTAACATGAAATATAAAGGGTGGTACACAGATATCAAATTATTTTAAAAAACAAACCACTACATATTGAATTGAGTAACTGAGCTAAGAGAGTTCAACATTTTTAGTATAAATAATGAAAGCTATATGAGTTTGCCTAAGAAATACAGTGTTCTCTTTTCATAACAAAGTACCATTAAAGCCTCATGTTTTATAATATTAGGCCCAATTATTTTTTTATTCTTTTCAAGATTTATTTAAGGCTCCGACTTAAAACGATCAAGTCTGGTCAGAATCAACTCAATCTAGCTAATGCAGAATCATCTGCAATTAAAAAGCAGTCTTGGCTGAGATGCCATTACAAACTGCTCAGAACCGAGCACTTTTCTTACAGCAAGGTTTCATGGCAACAGGGACATGAACTAATATTTTCCATTCACCATATCTTGATGCCATTGGGGGGAAAATACATTATGGCACAAACCTGGTTTTCTCTCTCTTTAAGTCTCCATTTCGCTCAAGCAGACTAGGTCCTCATTTATGCCAATCTTGGCATTCTCAATCCATTATCAACTTACTCTACACATCTATAATCTTCAACTACTACATAAACCTCAGACACACTGAAATCTCCATAGCACATATGCTCCAAATTTCCAGCTGACCACAGATTCCTTGATAGTGAATGGCAGTGTTTTTTCATCTCTGTTTCAGATTGATATTGAAGAAAACCAAAGAAAAGCTTGGCCTTTGTCACAATTCCTGTCCTTTCTATGTTGATCTGAATGGATACAATAAAGTTTTCCTTATTCCATTCCCTGTTCTCCTTCCAAGCCCTTGTTTCCTCCAAATTGTATATACCTTGGTCATCTGGGTGGTTTGGATACCTTTCGTGGAATGGACTGTCATATACTTCTACTTTATTCAGAATGCTTTATATTACTTATACTTAAATTAGCCTTTTAATAAGGTTTGTAAATAAGCTTCCTACCAAGGTAGCATGAAAAGAAAATTCTATGCATAGAGAAAAAAAAAAAGTTAAGAACATAGTATTAACCTTGTTAGAAAACTCTTGGTATTAAGAAAATTTAAGGCAGCTACTTCCTTCCTTAATGATTCCATAGAAAAGAACTTGCAAAGACAAGGCATTTCCTTGGGTTTCTTTGTCCTTTTTCACCCTTACATATTGCACTTGGTTCACTGTAGTTGTCTGGATTCACTGTCATGTTAGAATCACTTTAGCATTATTTGTGGTACAATTGCCTCAGGTGAAGCATTTCACTCTCTCATGCTACATAGCACCTAGAGCTTGTGTTTCAAGGCACTAATTGCTAATATATAGTGTGGCTGCCTTTGCACAATTGATTTCCTTTAGCATTTTGGCATTTCAAACCACTTTAATTATAGCAATTCCCAAAGTTTTTCATTGGAAGATGAACGTGCATTTTGTGTACATTTCTATTAGCATCACCTACTTAGAAGTCTACGTTTGGTATATCAAGTAAGAAAAATATTATTTTGGTGATTTTTAATTTTATTTTGTTACTTCTTTTAGTCAAAGGTATGTTTCTGCCTTTTACAGTATGTGACAAAGAACTATGTTGGTCAAGGCAAAGGCTATTTGAGTGTCTCAGCTGTAACAAGGATGTCAGATTACAGGTCCTCACTCTCCACCAAGCCACTATTCAATGTCAGCTGCGATGGGTTGGCATCGGGCTGGAACGCTGCTTTGATGTCTAGTCCCTGGTCAGAAAGTGCTGCATAACGACTGGCGGAGGGCCGGACTTTTTTTGGCTTGGTGCTCTGTGGCTGCTGATGCCATTGGGCTACAAAGAAAAAGAGCAAATTAAGGTCTTTAACCAAGATACCACTGGAAAGTCTTTCTATGTTGCAAGTCAATACAGAATGTCTTTCGATACATTGTTGTCAGCTGCTGTAGAGTCCCCTCCCACTCATGGCAATCCCATGTGTGTACAGTAGGACTGCTCCATAGGCTTGTCCAGCCTGTGACCTTTAGGAAGCTGATCGTCAGGCCTGTCTTCCCAATGCCTCTGGGTGGCTTTGAACTGCCAACTTTTCAGACTCCTTTTGATATATACCAGGCACATATTCTTTGTGAAAAACTGAACGAATACATTCATGGATGTTGTTGTTGTTAAGTGCTGTTGAGTCGGTTCTGACCCATAGCAACCCTGTATAGGGTTTCCGAGGAGCAGCTGGTAGGCTTGAACTACCGACTTTGAAGTTCAAATGGCTTTGCAGTCTGGAGCATTAACCCACAGCACCACACCAGGACTCCATGGTAAGAACCCTGAAATTTAGAGATACTTTTGCATTTTACTTTCATGCTTCAGATTTACTGTCTGACTTGCTGTTAAGTGCTGTTGAGTTGGGTTTGACCTTGTATAGGATTTCCAAGGAGCAGCTGGTGAGTTTAAACTGCCAACCTTGTGGTTCAAACGACCTTGCAGTCCAGTGCTTACCCTACAGCACTACATCAGGACTCCTACTGTCTGACTATTGTTGTTGTTGTTAAGTACCGTGAGTCGGTTCTGACTCAGTGATCCTGTGCAGTGTTTCCGAGGCCGTAAATCTTTATGGGAGCAGAAAACCGCATCTTTCTCCTGCAGAACAGCTGGTAGTTTCGAACTGCTGACCTTGAGGTTAGCAGTCCAATTCGTAAGCACTAGGCTACCAGAGCTCCTAAGAATCATGAAATTATAACAGCTAGATAATAAAGACAATGCATAATTTGTCCTTATTTTTAAATACAGGAAGCTTGTGAAACAGTCATCAAGCTTCCTAATTCTCACCCTTTTCCTTATACCACTAAAATCTTAAATCTTATTTCTTTCTAAGGCTCAAAATCGAATTATGGTAGTTAGGTACTTCAGATGACCATTTTAACAGTAACCAATGTAAGGAATTCAAGGAGTTCTGGGAGCGTAGTGGCTACGAATCGGACTGTGAACCACAAGGTCAGCAGTTCGAAACTACCAGCTGTTCCGCGGGAGAAAGATGAGGCTTTCTGCTCCTGTAAAGATTTACAGCCTCGGAAGCCCTATGCAGGGTCTCTATGAGTCACAACTGACTCCACGGCACATAACAACAACAATGTAAAGGAATCAGGGAGTAAGGAAGGCTGAAGTTATTCATTTCTTGAAGAACCTCACAAAGTTATTTCTTACTCAAGAAGAGGTAAAATTTGTAACTAGCTCTTATGTTTTCTAGTTTTTGGTTTTTAATTTTAATGTCCGTGACTCACAAAGGGCTATAGTACTAGTTTATAAATTCAGTAAGAACAGTTTTCTTAACGTTTAGGATGCATGTACACAAATATACATAGACAAACACACATCTATCACAGATATACTGATGACAAAGGCACTAAGCCATAAAAGTACGCATTCCAGCATCACAGCACACGTTTTGAGTGCATTAGGACACTGTGAAAGGATTATAATATACAAAGAAAGGTTAAAAGGCAGTCACTGGCAGAACACAGTTGTAAGAAAATGTGAAGAACATGTGGTTATGCCTTTGCCTACAGTTAACACCTAAGGATGCTTGAGTAAGGAAGCCACCACGGACTAGCCAATGTAAGAGAAGTCAACATGCATATTTGGCTAATAATCCAAAGTTCCTGAGTGATAGATACTTGGGTATTTGTTCTCCTGGTGTGGTTCACTATTAGTGTTGAGAAACTATAAATAGAAAGAGAGAGAGCCATGTGAAACTTTTAGCAAATAAAACACCACGATGATTTATGATTCTGTAGGAGTAACATGATTTACTGGCCAGATGTCCAATTTTTGACAATTCAGTGACTATGTGCAGGGAGATGAGGTGAAGTGGCACTCACTGTAAACATCCAGTCTGGCAGTACAGGACACAATCCCGGCTTCATTCTTGGCTGACACAGTATACCACCCAGCGTCTTCTTTTGTGGCTCCCTGAATGAGCAGGCAGATGTAACCATGATTATCCTGATGCATGCTGGAGAAAAGGAGAAAGTCATTAGGATTCTAAATTTTTAAAAAGCAGCTTTGGACATGAAGCATCATTTTTAATTAGATCATTAGAAACAGAATTGTGCAAGTAGCAGATAATAGGTTCATACTTATTCTAGAGAGTCTGCTAGCCCCATTAATGTTAATGGGAGAGAAGAACAGATGTCAAGAGGTTGAATAAATCTGCGCACTTAATTTCTAGTCAAGGAAAACCGCCAAATAGTTTTTTGCTGTCATCAAGGAAAAAACGAATCACTATTTCTTTAGAATCAAAGATACAAAGAGAAATGTTACAACTAAACAAAACAAAAAACACCATTAGATTAAGTCAGAATGCGCTTCCCAAAGCTTGTGCATTTTAGTAAATCATAAATTAGGGTAAAGAATACTCTTTGGTTTTGATATCAATATCATGACTTTTGTACACTCACAGATTTACATGCTACGCACAACGTAGCTTTTTGATTTATCATTAGGGGTTAGGTAGGTAGTTTGATTTATCACTAGGGGTTAGGTCGTTTGGTTTATCATTGGGGGTTAGTTGAAAGCATTGTATAGTCTCACCTCACTCTGTCAGTGCTGTGAGTGAGTGACTCGTTTTCTTTCTTCCAGAATATCTGAGGCGGTGGCATTCCTGAAACACGGCATTCCAGTCGCACTGGGTACCCGTCAGCAACTCCTGTGTTTTGCAGCTTCTCAATGAACACAGGGGGTTTGTGTGCTTCTTTAGCTAAGGGAACATGAAATGAGTTATCTATCAGTGGTATACAAAAGGAACAACATAAAGCTTTTCACAATTGTAGAAATGCCCTGTGAATACAGCTTTTACACTTTATAATATTATTTTTCCCTTTAGGTAGTGAGATGATAGTCCTTCTCTCCAATTATTCTTTTACCAAGCAAAGGTTCTTATCTTTCATTCCACTCATTTATTCCCTTCATTGAGGTCTAATAGGCCCACACAGCCCACTGACCATCTGCTCCACAAAATGCCCATCTGACAGGCTGCGTGATACTCCTCAGTCTTTACAATCTTCTCTGATGGCTTCATCGCTAATTGCATTACTGTGCACTCAGTCTTTACCAACCACTGCCACCTAGTGCTGCTGCAGAGGACAAGGATTTCTAGGAATCTGATCTCACTTAGGCTCCCTCACTGATAGCTACAAAGTCTGCTCTGATAACTCTGGAGGTCTCTAACTCCTGGATTAAGGCTTTAAAGGACACAGGATTTAAAAGTAAAAGTAAAAGGGAGGCATTTGAATCTAAAGGTGACAGCTTCAAAAGCTACCTCTAAAGCTAGGCATGCACATCCTGTATTGTAATTTGCATTCTACCTCATATGCATGTGAAAGCTGGACAGTGAATAAGGAAGACAGTAGAAGAATTGATGCTTTTGAGTTATGGTGTTGGAGGAAAATATTGAAAGTGCCATGGGCTGCCCATAGAACCAACTGATCCGTGTTCGAAGAAGAAGTGCAGCCAGAGAGCTCCTTGGAGGCCAGGATTGCCAAACTTGTCTCTCATACTTCGGACATATTGTCAAGAGGGACCAGTCGCTGGAGAAGGATGTCATGGTAAGGTGGAGGGTCAGAGAAAAAGAGGAAGACTCCCAGAGAGATGGACTGGCAAAGTGGCAGCATCAATGGACTCAAGCATGGCAACAATTGTGAGGTTGGCCCAGGATCGGGCAGTGTTTTGTTCTGCTTTGCATGGGGTCGCTATGAGTCGGTGCTGACTCAATGGTACCTAACAACAGCAAAAACAACATAAAAAAAAAAAAAATTAAAAAAAAAGGAGTCCCGGTGTGGCACTGTGGATTAATGTGCTGGACTGCAAAGTTGCTCTGAACCGCAGGGTCGGCTGTTCCAACTTACCAGCTGTTCCTCAGAAACCTTATACAGGGTCGCTCTGGGTCAGAACTGACTCAAAGGCACTTAACAACAACATACAAAAAAAGATGTAGGAAGCCCTACATTGGAACATCACTTGTCAGGTAGAAATATTTTATAGAAAGAACGGGATTTAATTATTTTCTTCTAAGTTACCAACAACGAGCTCTGACTGAGAGCATAGTGGTTACGAGTCAGGCTGCTAACTTCAAGGTCAGCAGTTTGAAATTACAGTCAGTCCACAGGAGAAAAATGAGGCTTTCTCCTCCTGTAAAGATTATAGTCTCAGAAATGCTATGGTGGGCCGCTATGAGTCAGAACCAACTCCTCAGCACATAACCACCACTACCCACCAGGCTACCAACAATGAGTCTGAGGAAATATGTCTTCTTCCACCATTAATCTCTCATCAAGAGTGGCAAATATATCAAAGTGAAGCAGGGGACAGCCAGGTAAAGAGGATAACAATGTTACCCAAACTGACTAAGCCCTTATATTATGAAGAGGGTTTTATTTTTATTGGATTTCATGTTGTTCTCTGATCTAAGCCATTTTAGGGAAAGTGGAACAATGCTCACTTAGTATTCTTTCTGGGTCCCAGTTTTTTAAAACAAAAAACATAAAATGCACAGAACAAGCCTTGGTATCATAGGAATAACATCCACCATTTTGAAGCACTGCTATGCAAGTTACTGGTTGTGCAGAACTTCATATACATCTTCTGATTTAACTCTTATAAAACTCTTGTGAGGTATTATCCCCAATTTACATGTGGGGAAGTTGAGATGCAGAGAGGCTGTCTATTTGCTGAAAATCACATATGGAATAAAGTAAATGAGAGTTGGAATCTGGAACTGAGAACTGACGCCAAAGACTTCACTTCCAGTTACTGTTGAACTCTCAACTCCCAGTCCTAAAGGACAGGTATCATCAAGGCACATTTAGCAGGAGAAAAATGAACACGTTTCAGTTTGAGGAGAAATTGTTATAGGAATGAATAAAATTTAACCACGTATGGTAAAAGAGTATTTTACAAATATTTTCAAAGCATGGCTAGCATGTAATATATTACAGTCCATATATTCACCACCTTTTTGTCTGAAAACCATCTTGATGCTATTACGAGAATCATCAGGATTTGAGAGAGGATCTCTAGGCTTTATTGTCACCACTCCTCTATTTCTTGGAAGAGCACACTTGGAAGTGTGTGTGTGTTGGTGTACAGGATTTCCAAGGAGCAGCTGGTAGGACTGAACCTCTAACTTTGTAGTTAGCAGTCACGTACTTATTATCCTATACCACCACACCTGTTGTATGTTCAAATTCTTAAGTATTACGTTTGGTTCTTGGAGCCCATACTATTGTTGCTCTTTCCCTGTGTAAAGTTAGGAAGTCATCACACACGATAAATCGAAGACCCCAGGAAAGCTATTAATGTTCTTTTCTCTCTTGGTCATGGCTAGTTTATAAAAAGAAAGAGTAATAGTGGTTACACTGAAGTAAGGGAAATGAATGATTTTGACTTGCTAAAGCCTTATATTGCTGTTGGGGTGCTGTTAGGTGCCATCAAGATGATACCAGCTCACAGTGATCCCATGTGACAGAGTAGAATTGTCTCTAGGGTCTTCTAGGTTGTAATCTTTACGGGTCTTGGTGTGGCACTGTAGAATAAACACTGGATCACAGGCCGCTTGAACCACCATGTCAGCAGTTCAAACTCACCAGTCGGTCCTTGGAAGCTCTACACAGGGTTATTATGAGTCAGAATTGACTCAATGGCACGTAACAACAACAACAATAATCTTTACGAGAGCAGTTGGCCATGTCTTCCTCTCATGGAGTCACAACGTGGGCTTGACCTTCCAATTAGAAGCTGAGCATCTAAGCATTGCAGCCATATAACATGTCCTCTTTGGTCATTTTGATGATACAATCTAGTTTTTCCAGAAATCTGGTTTCTCAAATTGTTGAACAATACAGTGTTACTTTGCATTTCTAAATCTGATGTTTACTCTTAGACAGAGAAAGGATTTCCAGAGAAGCCTACCAGCAACCACAAGCTCCAGGCTGAACGAGTTCTCTCCTGCTCGATTGGTGGCTATGCAGGTGTAGATGCCGGCATCTCGTGATGTGACTGGCTCTATGATCAAAGAGTGCACCCCATTCTCACGTACAAGCATCTTGTGAGCACTGTCCGGGCGTATGGGCTTTCCATCTAGCTGCCAGCTTAGATCTGGGGTTGGTAACCCACTGACCTAAATCAGAAAAGAAATGTTTAAATTTCTTTACTATTAACACAGAGTGAAACCTTTAATAGCTAAAAGACCAGCAGTAAGTCCTCCTTTGGTAACACAGGAGATGGCTTTTAGTATTACCTCATGTTACTCTTTTGCTTAAAACCTTTCACTGGCTTCCTAACGACTTAACTTAACTTAAACATTTCTTACAAAGCAATCTAGAGATAAGTGAAATGGAGACTAAAATAAAATTCTGTCATCATTTTATTTCACCCAAGACTGTAAAGATTACTGGATGATGTCAGTACACAGCACTGAGTGATTTGAAAAAAAGCTGTCCAACCATAACAACATACTCAGTTGGCATTTATATATTATAAAGCTTCTCAACAAGAAGTTGCAATAGTTATTGGTTAATGCATCCATCAGCACATAGGGCTATTATCATTTTATAACCCTTGAAACTGAGTAACACATGCAATGTGAAATTATCCAGAAAGCCATCTCAAGAAATTAGCATCACAATGGAAACATCATAAAATCTAGAGACCATGACAGTTGTGTTGACCAGAGATCAGATAAAAGCACATTTAATTGCTAATAACACGTTGTGCTGTGAGGGGTAGGGATGGTTACCATCTGTCAGCTCTTTATGGTTTTGCCTTGGATTCTAAATGGGAGAAAGAACCATTAAGGAACTGTTTTTTACTCCACCTCCAACCTTACTCATGGGAAACTGCATATAGAAAGATGTCAGTTAGATTGTGAAACAATTCTTCTTTTGAAGAATTAGCCATGCTACAATCATTCCGAGGCTCACAAATTTCATTCCCTTTGTGTGATGTTCATTTATACTACCTACAACATGCCTCCCCCATACATGCAAAGGATTTAAAGGAAAAAGAAATACATCAAGTGAATTTGTAACTACTTAAAAAGATGAAGAGACTAACAGGAAAAATACAAAACAATAACAGCAGTCCGACTGACTATCACAAGAACAAGTTGCTCACCCAGGAGATATCAAGGCAAGTGGTCAGGTCCCCTCAGGGCAAACTCCCTTCCAAAACTAAGATCAATGGGAATACATGAGCAGACATGTGCTCTGACTTGTGACCATGCTGGTCCCCAATAAAGGGAAGTGAGGGGAAAACAGCAATGAAACTGTGAACTAAGTCTTACCATATTCAATAGACTCCTCTGAACCTGGGTGGAGATCTG